TCCGCGCAGCGCACGAGCGAGCGCGCGCACTCACTGCTGACTTGTCTTCGACAGTTCGAGGGCAAGAGTGCGGTTCCACTGAACTATTTCAGAGGCTCCTGGGGCATATGGCATCCGTGGCTGCGGCTACGCCGCTCGGTTTGCTTCATATGAGACTGCTTCAGCTGTGGCTTCGCGATCGAGTCCCGAGGTGGGCATGGCATCGCGGCTCGCTCCGAGTTCCAGTGACTCCAGCGTGCCGCCGAACCTTCTTCCCGTGGTCGAACCTCAGCTTTTTACGGACCGGCGTCCCTATTCAGCGAGTTTCCAGGCATCCCGTTGTCTCCACGGATGCGTCTACCACGGGTTGGGGTGCCATGTGCAATGGGCATGCAGCCACGGGTTCCTGGACAGGACCCCAGCGCCTCATGCACATCAATTGCCTCGAGCTGCAGGCAGTACGTCTCGCCCTGCACCGCTTCCGAGCGTTGCTCAGGGGCCAGCATGTGCTTGTCCGTTCAGACAACACCACGGCAGTAGCGTACATCAACCACCAGGGGGGTCTACGCTCACGCCGGTTGTCGCAGCTCGCCCGCCACCTCTTGTTATGGAGTCAGAAGCACCTGAGGTCCCTTCGTGCAGTATACATTCCAGGAGACCGGAACCTGGCAGCCGACGATCTGTCACGGGTCCGTCCTATCTCCGGCGAATGGCGACTCCATCCCCAGTCGGTCCAGCTGATTTGGGACCAGTTCGAGGAGGCACAGATAGATCTGTTCGCCTCCCGGGACTCATCCCACTGCGCCCAGTTTTATTCCCTGACCGACGGTACGCTCGGCTCAGATGCGCTGGCGCACAGCTGGCCGCGGGGCCCACGCAAGTATGCGTTTCCCCCAGTGAGCCTCCTTGCACGGGTGTTGTGCAAGATCAAGGAGGACGAGGAGCAGGTCTTGCTGGTAGCCCCCTATTGACCCACCAAGACGTGGTTCTCCGAACTCTTGCTCCTCGCGACAGCACCTCCTTGGCCTATTCCTCTGAGACAAGATCTACTCACTCAGAGACGGGGCACTCCGTGGCACCCTCGTCCTGATCCTGGAGACTACACATGTGGCTCCGGGACGGGACGGGGCAGGATTAAGTTCGTTAAGTTCGGCAACCATCACTTCCGCTAGAGCGTCGTCCACGAGACACCTGTACGCGTTGAAGTGGAACCTCTTCGTCAGCTGGTGCTCTTCTCGCTGAGAAGATCCCCGGAGATGTTCGATCGGAGTCGTGCTTTCCTTCCTGCAAGAAAGGTTGGAGCGTAGGCTGTCGCCCTCCACCCTTTGGGTTTATGTCGTGGCCATTGCCACGTCTCATGATGCAGTGAAAGGTAAGTCTATGGGAAGCATGACCTGGTCATCGGGTTCCTGAGGGGAGCGAGGGGGCTAAATCCGCCTCCCTCCCCTCCTGCCCTCTGGGGACCTCTCAGTAGATCTAAGTGCTATGCAGAGGCCTCCCCTGGAGCCTTTGCAGTCGGTAGAGTTTTTGCCCTGTCCTATGTAGACAGCACTCCTGATTGCATTGGTCTCCATCAGGAGAGTAAGGGACCTGCACGCACTCTCTGTTGACGAAGTGTGCCTGGAGTTTGGGCCGGCTTACTCTCACGTATTCCTGAGACCCCGGCCTGGATATATGCCCAAGGTTCCTACCACTCCCCTCCGGGACCTGGTGGTGAACCTGCAAGGTACTGGAGGAGGCAGACCCAGCCTTGGCACTGCTCTGTCCGGTACGTGCTCTCCGCACCTATGTCGACAGAACGCGGTGTTTCAGGACCTCAGTCCAGCTCTTTGTCTGTCATGGGGGGAGCCAGAAGGGAAGGGCTCTCTCAAAGCAACGGCTGTCCCACTGGATAGTGGACGCCATTGCTTTGTCTTACCAGCAGCAAGGCCGTCCGTGCCCCCTTGGTGTGACGGCCCATTCCACTCGGAGTGTGGCCTCCTCTTGGGCTCTAGCGCACGGCGCCTCGCTAACAGACATTTGCAGAGCTATAGGCTGGGCGACACCCAACACCTTCGCCAGATTCTATAATCTGCGAATTGAGCCGGTGTCCTCTCACGTACTCGCTTCCGCCGGTACTGGACCCGCTTAGGTGTCTTCGCTTGCTCGCCATTCCACTCCACGGACTGGATAATTGCGATATCTCCTCAGTCCTTCTTTTGAAGCCTTGAGTCCTCCAGCACCTACGATGCGGGCACTACTGCTGTTGCTCTGGATGCTGGCTAGGTGCCTCCATGTGCACGGTTCCCCATGGTAACTGTCTCATGTGTATTTCCACTGTAAGCCTCTCTGAGCATGTGTCTTCCCTTGGCAAGCCATCTGCCACCCCTGGAGTTAAATTCCAGTAGCCACCTGCGGTTGGTGCTCCAGTGATTCCATATGTGTTCCGTGCGGCCATATGCGTATTGTAAGTCCTCCCTTTGGTAGGCATCTGGTTGCATGTCCCTCCCGGGATATGTTTCCCAGTGTACCTTGGTATTCCTGTGTTAAAGCGGGATCCCCTAAGGAAGGTTTTCAGGGGTCCAGACTTTCGCAGGGCACTGGAAGACAGCTTGAAGATGGCGTGATGGCATAGACCCCCAATCTCCGTCACTTCTGACGTAACTCGAAGTGACTACGAAAGGGAACGTCTCGGTTACGGATGTAACCCTCGTTCCCTGAGTAGGGAACGGAGACGTTACGTCTCCCTGCCACTTCTGCTGTATCGCTGGGTAGACGCCGAGTTCAGTCTTGGCTCCTCAGCGAAGACATACTGCGGTTGCGTTCACTTCCTCCTTTTATACTCACGGAGTAGGGCGGAGTACGCTATGCAAATTTCCGCAGCCCCAAGGCATTGCATGCCATTGGCTCATTTTTAAATACTCGAAGAGGATTGGCTTTCTATGCGAAACCCCCAATCTCCGTCACTTCTGACGTAACGTCTCCGTTCCCTACTCAGGAAACGAGGGTTACATCCGTAACCGAGACGTTTTGCACACACATTCTGAAATGATTGTTCTGAAAGACACACCCTACATTAATCCAGTGTGCTGAAAAAAAAAAACCTGCTTTGGATCTAGGTATGTGTGTGAAATTGCTTTCTCCAAAATGGGAATAATATAGTCAAAGCAATGTTCTCATCTAACTGGCAGACACTTGACAGAGCAGACACCAGCGAGCGACAGATTTACTGCTGGAATTACTGGTGAAAACAATGCAGACTCAGATTTCCCACTAGGAATAAGGACTTATTTTTATCAGGGCTTGAGAAGTGTATTTGCTCAAGATTGGTTTTCTTTATACATTTTTTTTTTTTTTTTTTTCTTAATTTAAAATTTAAAAAGTTCAAGTTTGGTTCAATTTATAATTGAAAATTCTGATATAATATTGCAAGAAAACTGTTAATCCACTTTTTTTGTTGCAGATTTTTTATATGATGTTCAATATTACTTTAAAGAGGACAAAGCCTAGCAAGACTTATCCATAGCCACTTAGGTAATAAACTGCTTTCAAATAAAGCCTAGCAAGACGTATCCATAGCCACATATGGATATGGATAAACTGCATTCATAAAGAAGTAAAAATATGTTTTTGATGCAAGTTGTAATTTGTGGCCCTTCACATTTTGTAGTTTAAATGAGGCCCTTTTGTCCTGTGAACTTGGGCACCCCTGCCCATACGGTCTCATGGCTTAATGGTCACTGTAAAGCGGTCCTGAAGGATGATTGTGCATGTGAAGTGTGCCATTTGGGACAGGGCAAGAAGACGACTCAAGTCCACATACTTAAAGGTAATCTGGTGGTTTGGTAAGTTTAGAACAGTGTCTTTACAGTTTTAACTATGCAATAATAAAATAAAGGTATGTTTTCAACAGACACTCCTCATTTTGAGTCTCCGAGAGACAACAGAAATTCAACCACATTCTGAGTCTCCAGCTTGCCAGGGAAGAGACGCTAACCGGCATGATGTAATGGGCATTAAGAGAAGCAACTTTTAGCTGTTCTGAAAGTTTATCTAAACACGAGAGATTTGGTTTTATATAAAAAAATGTATACACAAGATTTTAATTGTACCTTTATTTGTAGCCAAATATACTAATCGTTTTTTTGTGCAAAATACAATATTATACAAACCAAACTGTTGTGTTAATAACTGAATTGTATTATTGACTACGGCATACTCAGTTCAAAATAGTAATGCCTAACTACTAGATGGATGAAGTTCTCTATGATTGATCATGCCTTGTTACCACTGTGCAGGCTGCTGGTGGTGGTGTAATGGTGTGGGGGATGTTTTCTTGGCACACTTTAGGCCCCTTAGGGCCAATTGGGCATCGTTTCAATGCCATGGCCTACCTGAGCATTATTTCTGACCATGTCCATCCCTTTATGGCCACCATGTACCCACCCTCTGATGGCTACTTCCAGCAGGATAATGCACCATGTCACAAAGCTCGAATCATTTTAAATTGGTTTCTTAAACATGACAATGAGTTCACTATAATAAAATCGCCCCCACAATCACTAGATCTCAACCCAATAGAGCATCTTTGGGATGGGGTGGAACGGGAGTGTCGTGCCCTGGATGTGCATCACACAAATCTCCATCAACTGCAAGATGCTATCCAATCAATATCGGCCAACATTTCTAAAGAATGCTTTCAGCACCTTGTTGAATCAATGCCACGTAGAATTAAGTTCTGAAGGCGAAAGGGGGTCAAACACACTGTATGGTGTAAGGAGTATGGTGTTCCTAACACATTAAGATATTACGGACATTAAGGCATTCTATTTTTACTATTACAGTATTTAAAACAAAAAGATTCAAGATATTATTTTCGATTAGCGTATCTTTACTGTTCTGACTGCAAGAACATGTCATGTGCACCCAAATTTTGCATCCTGAGACAAATTATTAAGGAGTTTTGCAGCTGTGTTGTGATTATGTTTTTATTTGTTTCACATTCATTGAAGTGTAATTCTCATATATTCCTTGTTTCTGACTTTGAAGTTAAAAAAAAAAACATTCATCCACAACATAAAAAGATATAAAATACAAAACATATCAGGCAAGGCACTGTAATTTAGCACAGCTTTCCTTAAATTGATGTATAAAAACTTAGGCCTAGTATAAAAACAAACAAACCTCACTTTATGTTACTAAGTTAAGGTTAAAAAACAACATTATTCAAAATGAGATATTTTAAAATATAAAATACAGTAGAATCACAGAAATTAGTTTTCTTTAGTTAATACCACATAGATTTACCATGTTCTAAATCATCTGATGAAAATATCTGACAATATACAGTGTTACATCAAAGTTACAGATACATAAAAACAAAGACAAAGACAAGCTAAGCACTTCATGACCAGTACAATTAGCTGTAACTGAACAGTCATACAGGTACTACATGGGAACCGTGTAATGACATAGTATTACTGTTTGTACAGGGCATTCATGTTCTACACTGAAGTAATCTGATAAACGTGAAAGTCTAAACGTGGGATCTGGTGGGATCAGAGGTAGTCATGAGTTTTTATTAACAGTTTGTCATTACTGCCAAAAGTTTCCAGCTGTAGAGAGTCCTACATGCTTGTGTGTTCAGAGTTTGCTCCATTGATTGTAGAAAAATCTTGGGTCAGACTGGATTCCATATCTGGACCGGCAAGAGGTTTCTGTGGTGCTTTAAACAGAGAAGAAAACTGGATGTAAGTGCAGAGTAGTAAGTGTAAGTGCATATATATATATATATATATATATATATATATACACAGGGGTTGGACAATGAAACTGAAACACTGGCCAATGTTGGAGGTTTCACATCTATATGCCTGGCGGCCAATCTTCAGAGTGAAGCACGGGTGGATCAGTGATGGTTTGAGCTCCAATATCATGACAATCCTGATTGTATTTGATGGACACGACACTGCCGAGGACTACCAAACCCTTCTGGAGGATCATGAGCACCTGATGCTCAAACCGCTCAAACCGCATGATCATGCACCAACACACACAGCAAGACTTGTGACAGAAGGGTTTGATGAAGATGAAAGTGACGTTGAACATCTCCCATGGTCTGACAGTCACCAGATCTGAATATTATTGAGGTGTTTTGGAGGAGCGAGTCCACCAGCATCATATAGTGACCTGGACACTGTTCTGGAAGAGGAACGGCTCATAATCCCTCTGGTCACTGTGAAGGACTTCTATCTGTCAATTGGTGCTGTATTTGGATGCAAAACGAGGCCCTTACCATTCTAACAAATTATTGTGTTGTAAGACCAGGTGTTTCAGTTTCATTGTCCAACCCCTGTATATACATATATATGTTTATATACATTAGTACCAAGAACACATTCATATTCTGAAAAAAACTATGGACTAATTCACCTTTCTAAAAGGTGTTTTACTCTGAAATAGTTCAATTACACTGCAAACCATATTACAAGATTTCCATTCAGCATATATCATATTTTAGGTCCTTTTTCAAGGCAACACCTAATCATCTGTTCATTTGCTTATACTGAAAATGAGCAACAATCACATTTTTTTTTATAGCTAGAGAGGAAATAAAAGAGATTGCCTTCTTCCACCAAACTGACTTGCATTTTTATTGACTTGAGAGTTGAATAAACTTGCCACCACATCACAGTCTTCCTTATCAACCTAGCCACTGTACAGTATAAGCACCTGGGATTGTTTTTGAGTCGAGTCATTGTGGTGTGAGACTTTTCTCTTTAACTTTCTTCAAACCAGCGGACCTAGACTGGTTGCCCACTGAAGCTAAAGCCTTGTTCACAGTCCTGATTTCACAGAGAGCAAGCCAGTGTGAACCCCACAGTTCAGTCCGACGTTTTAAAATCATGTAGTGTTCAAGTTGTTGAGCTGTTCACATCACACGACACAACGTGATTGATCCACAACAGGAGGTAACGCACAACACGAGTTCTCAGTCACCCAACGATGGGTGGCTAAGAAACAGACCACAGTCTTGTCTACAAACCACATTTTGTCACGAAAAATCACACGATAAAGCGAACCGGAAATAACGCGAAACAGCACGCGCGCCAATACCCAGCGAAGAAGACGAAGAACACAACACATGAATATGGACGTCAGACAGAAACTAGTGCTGCAAACTGTTTGCCCGATGATTTGCTCTGAGAAAAAACGCAAAAAAAGACAAAAATAATATTTATCCGGTTACCTCAACCCATGCCTTGCTCTGATTGGCTATAGCTCATGACATCACGTGAGGTTGAGTCGTGCGACAGCTCTAGATATCTAGCATGCTAGATATTTTTCTGGGCTCAGCGACGCGTCTGCGAGTGTCTTTGATGCGTTGTTGGCTCTTTCATACTAACAGATTGCAGAGCGTTTATTGCCTGCTAATCCCCCGCGATTTGCACGCGATAAAAATTCTAGACATTTTTAGCTTGTATGAATGCCAGTAAAGGTGTTAAATTATGTTTGTTTAATGTCATCTTTTGCCTAGAACTATTAAAGCCAGTATCGCCAGTATTATACTCCTATTAAACTGATTTTGCTTTTATTAGAACGTGAGAAATGATATACAATTTGACATCATATAAAAAGCCATCCTTAAGGCCTAAACAGCAAATAATAATTTGTCATGTATTAGCAACAATCACAGAACATGATAAATTTGACAACTTTTAACAGCAGGTGTCCCCAACACGTGTACTCACAGGTATGGGTGGATAGAGAGGAACTGGTCAGGAAATTGTTCTGACTGAGCAGAGATGATGTCAGACCAGTGAACTGGAGACTCCGACAGGTCGCATCCAACTTCTCACCCTACGATTAACAGCAGACAGAAGAGTTAAGTCTAAGATTTAACATCCAATCTTACACAGTAAAAAAGTGTTCGTCTAATTTTGTTGTTGCTAAGAGAAACTAATTTCTAATGAGTAAACCATTGTTTATAGAGAAAATCTATAAAAAATTAATAACCATATTTTATTTTGTCACTTAATGACAAAACTTCAAGAACAGGGATATATAAATAAAGGTGACTTGACTTATTGTCACAATATTTGACAACAGTCAAGTCGTCACCTTTTGATTGATTCACCATTGATTCAAAGCTTTACAGTGATAAACAGGAAAACAGTGATAAATGATGCAAACAGAATTTAATTCTGCTGTAAAGCAGCTCTAAAAAGACAATAGCTCAAGTCAGTTCAGTGTTTATTCAGTTCAGTTCAATACTGTAAAGTTAATCACTTATGAAATAAATCATAATTGGCTCTGCAGAAAACAGTGAAGTCATCATCCGCTTTCACTCAATAATATTGCTAAATATTAAAATGATAGCTCACAAAAATTAAAATTATGTCATTAATTACTCATGTTGTTCCTCATGTTGTTCATGTTGACTTAATCTTCAGAACACAAATGATGAAATCTGAGAGCTTTCTGTACTCTATGCAAATGACACTTCAAAAAGTTCATAAAGATATAAATAGTTTTCTGAAAAGACACGATCACAACAGATTGAATTTAGGCTTTTATTCACATATAAACATTCATCAACGCATCAGTTCTGGTAAACGGAAGCTCAAGCATGTTTGTTTGACGTGCAAGAACCAATGAGGTTCATTGTCATGTGTTACGCTGCACTTTTGAGCTTCAGAAAGAACCAATGAGGTTTATTCTCGTGTGTTACGCAGCACGTTTGAGCTTCAGCAAGAACCAATGAGATTCATTCTCGTTACGCAGCACGTTTGAGCTTCAAAAAAGAACCAATGAGATTCATTCTCGTTACGCAGCACGTTTGAGCTTCAAAAAAGAACCAATGAGATTCATTCTCGTTACGCGCCACGTTTGAGCTTCAGAAAGAACCATTGAGGTTCATTCTCGTGTGTTACGCAACCTGTTTGAGCTTCAGAAAGAACTAGGGCTGTCAAACGATTAATCGCGATTAATCGCATCCACAATAAAAGTTTGTGTTTTCATAATAATATATGAAAACTTTATGTAACTATACACTATGTAACTATGTAAAATTGGTGGTGCACTATGTAAAATTATTTTATATATACTGTATATAAATACACACACATGCTTGTATATATTTAAGAAATATTTTCATGTATATACTGTAAATAGATTTATACATAATATATATATTATATATAAATATAAATATTTTTTTCTTAAATATACATGCATGTGTGTGTATTTATCAACCTTTTTCTGACTAGACGGTTTTCTACTTCCTGCTGTCCTTTTTTCACTAATTGTATCTTAATTTCAATCAATGTTTCATCAACCAATTGCCTAGTTTTAATAAATAAGAAGTATATAGTAAATGATGATCATGACGGAGGCAACAGCGTGCAAACTGGACTTTGGTCTCATGAATGAAACTCAGCGTAACGTTATTATGCCTAACCTCACAGGCCTGAGTGAGAAATGTAGACTATGCATCTTTGAAAGCAGAAGTAGCAGGAGTCAAGGGGCTAACCAGCCTAACCTTTTAGAACTGTGATTCTGCAGCAGTCGGGGTGATAGAGACTGTCGGATGTTTGCTGGAGATCGTGCAGTCATGCATCAGCTATCCTTTGGAAGTTATGAAGCAAAGAAAAACGTTCATTTTGTTTTTATCTGTGATTTAATAAAAAAATAACGTGATCAGATCACATTTGATGAATGTTTTTTTCGATTTAGTTTAGCGATGTGGGGATGACACAATCTAAAACACATGGCAAAAAAGCATAGACCAGACTCGATCCGGAAGTTGACTATCGGAATCGTCGTCATGGCAGCGCGCATTGTTTAGAGCAGAAAAAGGTGGATATATGAACAAAATAATTATGCATAGTGCACCCACATATATTATGTAAACACAAACTTTTATTTTGTATGTGATTAATCGCGATTCAGAAAGAACCAATGAGGTTCATTCTCGTTTGTTATGCAGCAAGTTTAAGCTTCAGAAAGAACCAATGAGGTTCATTCTCATGTGTTACGCAGCACGTTTGAGCTTCAGAAAGAACCAACGAGGTTCATTCTCGTGTGTTACACAGCACATTTGAGCTTCAGAAAGAACCAACGAGGTTCATTCTCGTGTTACGCAGCACGTTTGAGCTTCAGAAATAACCAATGAGGTTCATTCTTTTGTGTCACACAGCACGTTTGAGTTTCAGAAAGAACCAATGAGGTTCATTCTTGTGTGTTACACAGCACGTTTGAGTTTCAGAAAGAACCAATGAGGTTCATTCTTATGTTACGCAGCACGTTTGAGCTTCAGCAATAACCAATGAGGTTCATTCTCGTGTGTTACGCAACACATTTGAGCTTCAGAAAGAACCAATGAGGTTCATTCTCGTGTGATACGCAGCAAGTTTGCGCTTCAGAAAGAACCAATGAGGTTCATTCTGGTGTTACACAGCACATTTGAGCTTAAGAAAGAACCAATGAGGTTCATTCTCGTGTTACGCAGCACGTTTGAGTTTCAGAAAGAACCAATGAGGTTCATTCTCGTGTGCTACGCAGCAAGTTTGCGCTTCAGAAAGAACCAATGAGGTTCATTCTGGTGTTACACAGCACATTTGAGCTTCAGAAAGAACCAATGAGGTTCATTCTCGTGTTACGCAGCACGTTTGAGCTTCAGCAATAACCAATGAGGTTCATTCTCGTGTGTTACGCAGCACGTTTGAGCTTCAGAAAGAACCAATGAGGTTCATTCTCGTGTGTTACGCAGCACGTTTGAGCTTCAGCAATAACCAATGAGGTTCATTCTCATGTTACACAGGGAACTACACTGCGACCAAAATGGTCGCATATGCGACCTTTTGAAATCCCATTGCGACCCTAATTTTTAATGGGTCGCAAATGTATCACTGACTATTTTGACGGGTCTGTTTTTTAGTTTCTTTCGCGAGACGCAGAGATGTAAGACCCCGTGTACCTTACAATGATTTTGGTACACCAAAGGTAGATTTGCGCTCTGGAGTTCAGCTGATAAACTCTGCCATTAGCTAACTAATTATATTGCTAGCACTGATATTGACATCGACTAACGTTATATGATTACTAGCAGTTTCTTAGACTAGTTTTTTTTTGTGCTGTGTAGGCTGAATCGTAATCGCGTGATTCGTATCGCGATAATTCGTAATCGCGATAATCGCGTGTCAAAGACACCTGATTGGCTAATACTACACACTGAAGATAAATAATGTTTTATTAAATAATTACTGAAAATATCCCTCTCTTCATCCCACACCCCAAACATGACATACAAAATGTTGTGGAACAGAAACAACAACCAGATATATATTTATAAGCTATCATTTTATTGTCATCAGTTTGCCTGAAATATATTTATCTGAAATATAGCATATTAATTTTACATTCATTCAAGTACAATTACCAAACATATATCAAGGTAATTTTGTCTTTTTATTAATTTAATTAATAAACTAATTATATAAAACTATTGTCAGTGTTCTACAAATAAACTGGTTCTATGCATTTATTAATAAAACTTAAACAACTTCAAAATACCAGGCTTAAGAGATTTATAAAAATGCCTTTTGCATTTTTGTTTTGCTTTTCACTTCATTGTACCGAACCGTCTGAATATCTGAACCAAGGTGACTTCTGTACCGTTCCACCCCTAATGCAGTACAGTTGTCACGGTGTGAGATGGTGGAGTGCAGGAGTGCAGGCAGAAGGAATAGGAGGAGTCCAGATGAACGTGAAGATACTCATTTTAATCAAACATACAGGTAGGAGGACAGGGAAACTCCGGGTAACATACAACATTGACCGACAATCATGAGTAAAACAGAGGGAACTAAATACACAGAATAATCAAACATAATGGGGTGAGAACAGGTGAAACAGATGATGATGACGAGGAACAGGTGGCTGATGAGGGAGTGAACACGGGATAGGGTGACGAGAGGATCCTGGGAAGTGTAGTGCTGCTGACTGGACAAACAGGTGAAGACGCAGACTGTGACAGAACTCCCCCCTCCCGGGAGGCATGACCTCACGCCGCAGAACAGAGGAAGGAGGGGGGACGAACTGGGGGCTGAGAGGGGCGTGGCCAGGGCGGAGCAGGCTGAGGGCGTGGCCAGGGCGGAGCAGGCTGAGGGCGTGGCCAGGGCGGAGCAGGCTGAGGGCGTGGCCAGGGCGGAGCAGGCTGAGGGAGAGACCAGGGCGAAGCAGGCTGAGGGCGTGGCCAGGGCGGAGCAGGCTGAGGGCGTGGCCAGGGCGGAGCAGGCTGAGGGCGTGGCCAGGGCGGAGCAGGCTGAGGGCGAGACCAGGGCGAAGCAGATGGAGGGAGGACCCCTGGTGGAGCCGATGGTAGTGGGGCTGACAACACCAGGGGGCCGACTGACAGGGGCGGAGCAGATGGGAGAGGAGACCAGGGTGTAGCTGAGGGACAGATGACATTGGGTGCTGAGGAGGGACCGAGGGACCAAGGTGACACCGTAGGCTCTGGTGACTGAAGTGACGACAGGGGCACAGAGGGACACGGTGAGGTCAGAGGGCGTGAGGGCTGACGGGTGACTGGAGGGAGTGAGGAGTCCAACTGAACCGGAGGGGTGACAAAACGGGGCGGAGCCAAAGGAAGGAAGTCCATAGATGAGGGGAGGATGACGAGGGAGTGAAGGGAATCCGGAGGACCGAGGGAGCCTGGCCGAGCTGGTGGACTGAGGGGCCATGGAGGAGCTGAGGGAGGTAGAAGCCACGGGGGAGCTGATGGGACAGAGGGCCGAGGAAGTGTCCATGTGGAGGCGGTGCGAGGCGAAAACCGGGGATCCACTGACCAAGCTGGTTTCGGGGAGCTGAAGGGCAGGAGAGAAGATGGAGGACAGATGAGAGGAGGCGGGAGAGGGAGGCTGGGTGGGATCCTGGTCTCGGGCTCTGGCTGGACGGTCTCGGGCTCAGGTTGGACGGTCTCTGGTGCTGGCTGGACGGTCTCGGGCTCTGGCTGGACGGTCTCGGGCTCAGGTTGGACGGTCTCTGGCGCTGGCTGGACGGTCTCGGGCGCTGGCTGGACGGTCTCGGGTGCTGGCTGGACGGTCTCTGGCTCTGGCTGGACGGTCTCGGGCTCTGGCTGGACGGTCTCGGGCTCTGGCTGGACGGTCTCTGGCGCTGGCTGGACGGTCTCTGGGGTTGGCTGGACGGTCTCTGGGGCGGGCTGGATGGGGCTGGACGGAACCAGCGGTGAAGAGGGCTCTGACCGGTAGGTGATGACGGCAGGGGTGGGGATGATGGTGGGTGTGTGTGGTTGAGTGGCGCTGTCATCTTCAGCCTCACCAACGGTGAAGGCTGACCCACTCAACCACAACACATGATCCAGGTATCCGGCGAAGGTTCCTGGAAACGCTGCTGCTGGGGCTTGCCGGTACAGATGATCGTCCAAACCCAGCCAAAAGACTGACTTTAGAACGTCATCTGACCAACTTACCCCAGCAGAGAGCTCCAGGAACCTGACGACGTACTCCTTACAAGTTCGTCCGTCCTGGAAAAGGTTGATGGTGGTGAGAGCCGGGGTTAGGAAAAGTCCCATGTTGTCACTGTTGAGGTCGGTCGATCTGTCATGGTGTGAGATGGTGGAGTGCAGGAGTGCAGGCAGAAGGAATAGGAGGAGTCCAGATGAACGTGAAGATACTCATTTTAATCAAACATACAGGTAGGAGGACAGGGAAACTCCGGGTAACATACAACATCGACCGACAATCATGAGTAAAACAGAGGGAACTAAATACACAGAATAATCAAACATAATGGGGTGAGAACAGGTGAAACAGATGATGATGACGAGGAACAGGTGGCTGATGAGGGAGTGAACACGGGATAGGGTGACGAGAGGATCCTGGGAAGTGTAGTGCTGCTGACTGGACAAACAGGTGAAGACGCAGACTGTGACAACAGTTTCATTATTATTCATTATTATCCAGAGAGCGGCTTACTATAAATAATTTGTGCGACCAAATCATGTTTTGCGCCAGTAACTGAAAAAGTTAGCAGCGCAAGTGCCACCAGTGGAAAAGGTTAGTTTAGTTACAGTTCCCTGTAACACAGCACGTTTGAGCTCATGTGTCAAGTAGGTTCAGTTTTTGTTTATATACGTTAATTAATGTTTAAATGTGAATAAACTATTAAATAAAATTTGTTCATCATATTAAGCGATTGAGTCTCTTCAGAAAATCGAATCACCTTTGATTATAGCACTTATTAATTAGAGATGCATCGATTACAGTTTTCTAGGCCAATCCCAATTTCCAATTGTTCCTTGAGTTTGACCTGCAGATAACTATTTTAGCCGATTCCGATTTAATTTTTTCAAACCACTTTACAGCACACACATTAATTTTATTTTATTTTCTATCTTCTCTTTAATACAACAGTTTGCATAGAACATTTTGAACAGATAATTGCTATAAAACAGAACTATATAAATTACTTCTGGTGTGGGAAATTCACACACATCTAAAGTGCAGTGTTATGGAAGAACCATTTCCTTTTCAAATCCAATAACAATTATATATATATTTAGCATTTAAATTTAAATTTAATAGCATTTTATTTAAAATAAACATAGCCTTGCAGTATATAGATATTTATCTCTCACACACAGGCCTATTGCAATCACTTGTACATCAATGGCAAGTTATATTTCACAAACAGTTCTTCTCTAATCTGACACATGTCCAGCCAGGATAAACAGGACAAGTGGAGCATGTGCAGGGAAGTGATTGGGAAATAATAAAAACAAGTTTAAATGGGTACATTTTCTATAAATATTTTTAAGTCTTCGTTTTCTTTTCTGACATAGCCTACTTCAGTTCTTTTTAAAACACACCACCAGACATGCACATTTTTGGATGAAATCATATTGTCCATCAAAAATGTGCCTTCACTTTAATTGAGCGCAGGAAAAATAGACTGGGCGCCGAAACCGCGCTTCATTGCTGCTCACAACGCTCACGCGCTTCTCCGGCTCCCGGTGTGAATGTACTCACTGATTAATATGCACACCGAACAAAAAACACGCTGCTCCTGCTTGCTGTGTGAAACGGCCTTAATTCACCGGGTTTACTACATGTGCGTTCCGTGTGCAGTCTGTGCATGTGTGATACTGATGCGCGACGTTAATCATGTGGCACCCGAGTGCATTTAACCGGCATAAAATTGGCATATGTCAGACTGACTGGCCAGTCGTGATCAATTCCAATCACCAGCCGATCAATCGGTGCATCTCAACTTATTATATAGCACTTTATATAATAGAGATTGTTTCAAAGCAGCTTAAAAGGAAATAAAATAAAAATAAAAAGGAAAAGCTGTTTGAAAAGCGGTTGTTCAGCGGAAGTCAGTTAAAGATCCTTAATTATTAAAATAGATTTTTGCAGAACTGCTTTAGATTAAATGAACCAGCTCAGTTCAGCTCTCATATAAGTGTGTCATTACAGTCAGAACAATGATATTGTTGAATATTAAGTGTTGAATATTAAGTTAAAATGTAGACTAAACTACTCAATTCATATGGATTTGTTTTACTTTGAGGCATCAAAGTGGTAGTTGAATAGCTGGAGAATTATTGACAGAACTTTTGGGTGAACTATCCCATTTAAGTGTCCCCAACTAAGCAAGCCAAAGGCGACAGTGGCCAGGAATCTAAACTTTATCAGTTGACAGAATGGAGAAAAAAAGAAGAAACAAAGCTCAGTCAGGGGACCAGTCCTCTTCTGGCTAAACTAAACTTTATTAAGTTTAAAGTTTAAAAATTAAGTGCATGGAATCAGTGCTATATGTTCATACCCTGTATTCCTGAATCCTCCTCTTAGATTCTTCAAGCTGATGCTGGAGGTCCCCAACTATCTCCTTATATTTGGCATAACGTTGTTCCACCATTTCTCTCTGCCTCTGTGACTCCTGAAACCACATAAGCCAACCATGATATCTGCCTCAGAGGGAGGTTAAATTTTGACCAAAACATCATATCCAACCTCGAGATCCTTGAAGTTTTCAAGCAGACTGAGTTTCTCAGGAACTGACTCCAGATGATCCAAGGCCAGCCTGGTGCTCTGGAAAAGAAGAATATTCTGTCGTTTATTTCATATTAGTTCTCAAATCCTAGTCTTTGAGAATTGCACTTTGTCTATTGCTTCAAGTCTCAATGGAATGAGTGCATCTCCCAGAAGAGGCAAGGGTCAATTTCTGACACCAGCGTGTTGTTGTGCCAAGCAGTAATGATGTAAATAGACGGAGCTGTGAGTAAAGGCTGAAGGTTTCAGGAGCTAATTAAATGTTCGTCAGCCAACCATAGCACATAATGGTGATTGATATGGTAGGCGTCAGATAGCTTTTTTTCAAACTGTATAAATACTGCTGAGTCGATACAGGCGTCAATACTTTTAACAAACGACGGCATATTTCTTAGCCAAGTAATGATTTGTAATTCAGACATTTAACAGAAATCGTTACGCTTCTGCAAATAGTGTACTAAAGTCTGGAACATTTCAGAAATAATATTCTGTACCAAAGCACAGAAAGAGACCCTGGTATATTCTGTCTACAAACTCAGCTTTACAACATAAACTAGATTTGCATTTCAGAAGTGCTTTCAAGTCACCAGAAGAATAGTAGTGTAGTTACTGTATATGTATGTAGTTCTATGTAAATTAATTATAGCATAAACAAATATACATTCTAACAAAACTTTGTACGTTTAAATAACAAATTGCAAACTAAAGGAACACATTTCAGAGGGAAAAAAAAACTATGGTTAACAATAATCAACTGCTGAAGAGTGCTTTTTTTTACTCTTTTGTTTGCAAACTGTGAGGCCATCGATTCAGGTTTGGGCTCTGGCTGGACCATTCCAAAACATTAAACTTTCTTTGCTAAAGCCATTCTTTTGTTGATTTCGATGTGTGTTTTGGATCATTGTCATGCTGAGTTTCTCTTCATTATCAGCATTTTCAGAACTTGTGCCAAAACTGGCTGGTATTGGAGCTTTCATGATTCCCTGCACCCAGAGATAATCTGTCTCGCAAAGGCCCTTCAGTTCTTTCCTTTAGCGCAAAGTGGAGGTTATGATGATCGTCAATATTAAAACCATTCTCACCCGAGGCATCAAATCTCATAATGAACTGAAAATATGTTTAAACTTCATAAGCTTTGGCAAAGTATCTGTCACACAATTTTGATTAGAAAGCGCAATATCGCCTTAGTGCCCTTATCAAATCGGGAAAGGTTGAAATTTAAGTATTAGAACTGCGCACTTTGTTCACGAGATCAGTTCGTGATTCAGTGTTTTCAGAGCAGCTCAGTTCAAAGTAAATGCAGTAAACTCCATCTCTACATGCGCTGTCAGTTTAATGCGCATTTGGAAATGCAACGGCACAAATTCACACTGCACCGACAGTTGCCGACACGGACACTGTAACGGACACTACGTGGGATTTTGTATGATTAGTGTGTTCTCCCTATCAGTGTTTGCAGGTGTCTGTTGTAGTTGTGACTGTTAGCATTGGTTGCCATCTGTTGGTACAGTGTGAATTGGCCTTTAAAGGGCACCTATTATGGAAAATTCACTTTTACATGGTGTTTGAACATAAATGTGTGTCGGCAGTGTGTGAGCAAAACCATCCTAGAATAATAAAAATCCACCCAGTGTTTTTTTTACAATCTCAATAAATCATATTCACTGTCTCAGAACGAGCTGTTCTAAGATCCAGCTCTTTGTGACGTAGAAAGTGAGAAAGGGGTTTGATTGACAGTGTGGTTGTGGCATAGACCCCGCCCTCGGTGATCTGTACACACATCTTCCATTGTTTCAACGACAGCCTGTAATGTCTCTTGGAAACATAACTGTTCTGTCGTGGGTTTATTCTGTTGTTGTAGTTTAAAAGTTAATCCTCAACTGTTAATCGTCATCTACTGTTTGCGATCCACCGTCACATCCAGTAACAGTAATTGTATTTTATGATTTTTGACCAAATAGTCTTTTCAGTCAATGTCAGCCAATTCAACAACAAATGCGTCTAAAGTTGTTGTTGTCGTAGGATGTCTGTGTAGGCTATATAATTTAAACCTTGTTTGTATAGTATCCACACGTTTATATATATTTAAAGATATTGTATTAAAAACTGCATATATGTTCTTGTTCTGTAAGTTAGCCATCTCCTCACATTTGCCACAGAAGCACCTTCAAACGTACGCTGAATGACATTCAAAACAGCGGTTTCTCTCAATCTCTCAGTACCGACTGCCATTGGTATCAAGTTACGCCCTCATCCAAAGGCAGGGCGGGGATATGCAGCTCATTTGCATTTAAAGCCGTCTACCCCCGAAACAGCTCATTTTTAAGCAGGCCCCAAAATGACATTTTCAAATGGTTATAATAAATTAACTGTGGGGTATTTTGAGTTGAAACTTCACAAATACATTCTGGGGACACCAGAGACCAATATTACATCTTGTAAAAAGGGGCATAATAGGTGCCCTTTATGGCAGGGTAGGTGATTTGTACCAGATTTTTTATTTTTTTTTATGTTGGTTGAAAGTCTCTTCACATCCTGATAGTGATGAATAAGTTATAAATGTATTCTGTGGAAGGAGTTTGACCATAAAATGTTTGTCCAAATGCAATGATACAATGTCCTATCTGCCTGTCAACATATGTAGGAGAGCGGGACACAACCTAACGCATTTTGGTTTTGGCTCAATTAATTAAAAAATAATTAGGTTAGATTAATATCATTTTACACAAGCAACATACACATCTCTGCTACAAATGAACACTTAAAGTTTTTTTTCTAGGACCTACTATTTTCGTACAGTTGCACTGAAAGTGAAAGAAGTGCAAATGTTACAACTTACCCCATATGCGGGGTAAATTGTAACAGAAAGAGGGGTTAGTTGTAACACTTGTGTGTAACACACATAATTCAGTACTATTTTATTTGTATAGTTTGATATTGTTTGTGCATCTGTAGACAGATATCCACACATCCATCCCTCATCCAATCATCCTTCTATTGTGGATCAATATCATGGATAGAGACATAGAAAAGGGCTGCACAGTTTTGTAATAAATAATAATAAATAAAATTATAAAATATTGTAATTGCAATTAAAATAGATGTGTGTGTGGCAGCTGCATGTACAATTATTATTATTAATAATAATAATAACAGTAATAATAATACAAATGAGCTTTAAATAAAAATTTAAATGGTTTTTTACATTAAAAACAGGCCAAATTTTTAATAAATAAACAAATTATCATTCATAGTACACTAAATTTTAAACATTTTAAATTCCAACATTGTTTGTGAAAGTCCAACAAAGTTAAATGTATACTCAAACCTGAAAAGTTGTGTGGCTCCGTTTTCATTTGATTATCATTGTACACTTGGCAGCTTAGTTGTAACACTGTGTTACAACTAACCCCGCAGTGTATTACATACTTTAAGCCTAGCTAACAGTCGCTAGGAATTGCTGACATGTTTCAAAACGGTGCTATGTTTGAGCCAACAAGACAGTGATTAAGGCAATATAAAGTTAGATTTGGAAACGTACACACCCAACTCAGAAACCGAAAAAAAAATCTATGATGAAAAAATGTACTTGCATGGTGTCAAAACACTCTTTGTCCAGTATCTTCACGAAACATAATCAAAACTTTCGGCAAATTTGCGGGAGACCGTATTCTGGCAGCAAGAGAAAAAGAGCGAAAAGACAACCCTGCTTGATCCTGACTGACTATATAAAAAGTCTGTGTTACATTTAACCCTGTGTTAGGTTGTGCCCCACGCTCCCCTACTGTATTTCCATACCTCCGTGCACCCTGCTCGTGCAGACATCACACGTCATCAGCGCGTTTCATGATATGAGTTAGACAGACGTCAGTCATCGTACGAGCACCGCAACCGAAACAGCAGCCACTTTTTACTGTTACTGTAATTTGTTAGAGATGGAAACCCATGATGTTATACTGAATTTGGAGCAGCTTGTCACTCCAATTTATGTGTTTCAATTGCAACACTGAAATTAAGCTGCAGCAGTCAGGTGGGTACAGGTAAGTGCTCTTTAAATTGTTGATATTCATTATTATTATAATGTTATGTGCTTTGAGACATGAGGTAATTTAAAGGGTAAGTTCACCCAAAAATAGTGTCATTAATTACTCACCCTCATGTTGATCCAAACCCACAAGACCTTTGTTCATCTTCGGAACACAAATTCAGATATTTTTTCAAATATCAGATATATTTCTAAATCCGAGCTCTCTGACCCCTCCATAGAGAGCAAATTTTCAAGGCCCAGAAAGGTAAAGACATTTTTAAATATTCCATGTAACTAGTGGTTCAACCTTAGTTATATGAAGCAACAAGAATAATTTTTTGTGCACAAAAAAACCCTACTTTTTTCAACAATTTCTTCTCTTCCGTATCACTCGAATTCTTGAGAGCTATTTGTAAGCTATTGAACTCTACATGAATTGTGCTTTAGGTCTCAGTGGTCTTAGTGTAGTGTTTAAAACGGCACTAAAGTGTAAATACTGTCTGGATGCCCAAACAGTCAGAAACCAGTGAGAGTACATAAAAGTACCTTTCCAATGCCACCAGAAAAAAAGGCTTCCCTTTTACACTTTCCCATTAAATGATCCTGAGTTACTGAAGTTGTGGCTGCTGGCTGTTCAGCAGGATGTTAATTTACTGCTTCAATACGTCAAGCAAATGAAGTTGTGCATTGAACATTTTTCACCAGACGACTTCAAACCAGGTCAAGGAAAGCTACAACGATTTCTGAAATCAACAGCTCAGTCAGTACCCCCAGTCCGAAGGCTCTACACAGTAAACCACGATCAGCAGGTCCATTACAGCCCCCCAACCAGGACCCCCACAGTCAGAAGGTCCACCTCTTACCAGTTTTCTCCCACAAGTAACTGATAAATGTGGAATTATTTTATTATTAACACGGAGGAATTATTTTCAGCTGCATATTTAGCTGGTGTTCCACAGTCAGCCCCAGTTGACTCAAGCCATATAGCATCCAAAGTTCTACACGAGATTCC